ATTGAGAGCCCATCCCCCATTGTGGTTGGTGTCATTCCTAGGTTTGGTGTGGGCGCTAAAACAGGTTGTGCAAGCCTATAAGTCATGGCCTCTGTATCAGTTTCTGCCTCCAAGTTCCTACCTGGACTTCTTTCCATGATAAACAATGACATGAAAAGCTAAGCAAAATACACTCCTTCCGCCCCAGCTGGCCTTTGGCCTTGGTGTTTTATCACAATAGTTCCCTCAAGGCTACGTGTGTACATACCTGCCAAATTACCTATTTTGTCAAGCACAGACGGCTTTCCTACCAGTATCCCTAAAAACTGCACTTTGAAAATGTTTCAAAGGGACTAGATAATCTGGCCTTCTTCTGAAAGACTGGAAATTAGTCTAAACAGCGGAAGGTGGTACAGAGTTAGGAGAGGCTCAGGCAAAAAACTGTGGGGCCGGAGAGATGGCTCAGCAGCTGTGAACGGCTGCTCTTTCAGAAGGTCCTGGTTTGACTCTTTGTTCCCACATGGTAGCCCACAATGGACTGCAACTCCAAGCCCCAGAGGATCCAACCCTCTTCTGGCCTACTTAGGTACCAGACCACACACGACATAGAAAAATGGTCTCATTCCAGAATAAGGAAAGTTTAGTTTTGTGAGTCTTTGAAGGTATTACTACCTTACTCAAGCAGTCTAGATACACAAGAACACTTTACAGTCAGTTCATTAAACATATCATTTATTGGTTACTTTCTAAGTACCAGATATTGGAGATACAGGAGTGAACAAATCTTTACAATGTTCTTATTCCCATGGAGTTTACGCTCTATCAGTTAACCACCATGAGATCAAACCTTATGCTGAATCAGAGTGGAGACGCAGCTGCTCAGTACTACAAGATGAAGCAATCAAGAGACACATGTAGTAAATAAGAGAATTTATTTGGAAAGTAGTGTATAAAAGGCATGATTCTAACACTTATTTAGAATATTAACAAATTAGAAAAAGTTAGAAACTTCAGAAAACGTAGACACCCTGAAGCTGGCTTAATGGCTGGCCACACGGGACAGACAAGCAGAACCCAAAATTCTATCATGCAAATAAGCATTAAAGGAAAAAGTGTGGGAATGTTTACAGAGCAGGCCACAACAAATATTTTAAAATTTTACATTAAGAAACTGTACATAAATGGAAAAATAAATTAGATAATTTACAAGAAATGTTTTATAGGTTACAATAGGCTATAACTTAGTTTTATTATGCATAAAGTTTGTAGCACATCATACATTTTTACATAAGATTTAATATTAGAAGAATCTAAACATAACAAAGCTTGGGCTAACAAAAATAATGCCACCAATATAGTAAGGCAGCTTACACTGAAGTGACATGTGTAAGTAAAATAATCACCAATTTAAAAGATGCTCAAAAACGGGACAGAAAATACCTAGGATTGATTTCAACCGAACTGAGCAGAACTGAAAAGAATGCCTTTCGACTTCAGCTAAAATGACAGAAATGCGCTTAGCTCAAACAGTAGGCACGAGCGACCATGTACCTGAACCTCACTTACTGCAGGAGTGATTTACATGCACGATTAGGACCATGACACTCAGCTATGCAAAACCAAAACCTTTGTTTGGAGAACAAATCAGTAGACGGGCAGTGGTGACACACACCTTTATTCCCAGTCTTGAAAAACCAAACCAACCAACCAACCAAACACCCCCCCAAAACCCAAACTAGTTTGTGAATAAAGATCAGATTCCCAAGCACAGAGCTGGAAGACAGCAGCAAAATTCCAGCATTAACTCACACTGACTTTTAGAAGTAAGGATATTGCTGTCGGGCACAGGTCTGTCCCACTAAGATCAGTAAAGAGATTTTAAGGTGTTCTGTCTGCCTCATTAGGTTCACCCATCTCAACTTACTTGCATGTAATTCCATTTTCGTTTTGTAAATGTGGCTGGGAACTGTGCATTGGACATATACAAAACTTTCAAACGGGCTTTAACTCTCTGAATTTAAAGGTGTAGTTTCTTCTTGTACAAATGAAAAGTACTAATAATTCCTACATAATTTTTAGGTTAACTGTAAAAAAAAAATTCAAGATACTTCATAGATGAATGTATGCACATACTTTCCAACAGCTATCATAGACGGTAATCGGGGAGAATAGTATTTTTCTGGTTTTGTAAGTACTTATTATTAGCACATACTAATAAACGCCAGAAAAAAGCACTGCCAGGAATGAAGCAGTTGTTCTCAGGCTCCTGACAACTATGTCATTTCCACAGTTGCCCAGTTTACAAATAAAGATAGTAACATTCAAAGTAGCTGGGCCAATGACCAGCACACCATAAAACATTACCAAATCTCAATTCCACATGTATTGAATATACATACAAGACAGCACAGTGTAGTCAATAAGGAGTGCTGTCCAAAACAGTTTAACCTTTTGTTAAGTGGAAATAAGACAGCAGAAAACCTGGGACAATATCTTTTCACGCTGATGTTTTAAATCAGCTATCACAATCTTGAAAGAAGAAAATGACATTATGAGACTCAACAGAAAAGATAATTCTTGTTACAAACTGCAGACAAAAAGTAATTTTGTAAGATTATGGGATGCAGGCCAGATGTGGTTGCATATGCCTTTCTTACCAGCACCTGGGGGGCAGAGACAGGATCTCTTGTGAGTTTTAGACCAGCCTGGCCTACTTAGCAAGTTTCAGGACAGACAGAACTACATAGAGAGACCCTGTCTCAAAAAGCAAAAGACAGCTGACAGTGGTGGTGCACACCTTTGATTCCAGCACTCGGGAGGCAGAGCAGGCGGATCTCAGTGAGGTCCAGGCCAGTATGACCTACAAAATGAGTTCCAGGATAGCCAGGACTGTTACACAAAGAAACTGTCTCAGAAAGCAAAACAAAACAAAAACTAGTAACAACAACAACAACAAAACCCCAAAAAACCCACAACCCAGAAAAACCAAACCAAAGATTATCTGATGACACAAATGAAGTTAGCCTATCTGCATCACTGCCAGAACATAACACACCCAGTGAACAGGAGCTTGGCTGGGAAAAGAAAACATTGACATTTTGAAGCAATCATCTTAAAATCAGAGTATTTTCAAAAAATATATTTTGATTATTTTGTTTACATATAGCACAAAAGTTGAATGCAAAGTAATGGACATTCATTTTCATTAAGCTTCATCAATTTTTAACATAACTTAGAATTTCTGAATTATATTCGCAAATGCAACACACTAACAAAGATAAAGTGCTCAACAAAAGAAAGAAGACACAAATAAACTATGAAAGAACTTTGTTTCTAACAAAGTGGTTTTATGGGGGATATTGGGAAACTATGGCCAGGCCAAGCTTTTCACCCAAGGATGTAGCCCCCAAACAGCATTACCTTTTAGGAATGGGTTCCTCAAACACAACAAACATATGCATTCTCAGGGGCAACAATTTAGAGTTTTTGAAGAGTCCAAGTTTTGCAAATAAATAGAACCTCTTGAGAGGCTGGATTTCAATTATCATGCACATTACTGACCTCAACAATGACTTTATCCAAAAGAGGGACCCACTACTTCCCCACCTACTTAGAGTAACAGAGGGAAATGCTGTGCTAACCTATGTGATTTGTGTATTAGAAGCCTGGGATTCGGCTAGTTAAAAGGTAACATTCTGGAGGAGTGGTGGTGCTTTAGATCTGTGTGTGTATTTTACCACCAAAACCATGGCTGACAATGCTCTTAGCATTTGAAGTTAATCCGAATTTTTATAAAGATTCTCTGTACATATAAAAGATAGCAATGACTTAAAAAGTGTTTCTGGGTAATCCTTCAAAATTGACTGCACAAAACTCAGAAACTTTAGAAACTAAGTCCCTGAAATTAATTTTGCTTCCATGAAGGAAATCCATTAGGAGATTGCTAACTATTAGGTTATCACAGGCAGTTTTATCAGTATCAGATATTAGAAAAATCCCATACAAGAGATGACATAATGCCAACATATAGTATTTCTGGAATAGTCAGTAACAGCTTGTCTGTGCAAAATAAACTGGCTCAAAGAAATGATCTTCTTTATATTTAAAAAAGCCCCCCATCTCATTCTTTAAAAAACTCATATTAATAAAGTTCTCATGGACATATAATAGTCTTCTAAGTAATTTTAGCACACCTTTAATCTCAGTAGCCAGGAGGCAGGTGGATTTCTTGAGTTCAAGGTTTACCTGGTCTACACAGCCAGTTCCAGGACAGTCAGGGCTAGACAGTTGAGACTCTGTCTCAAAAACAAAAACAGAAGCTCTAGAAAAACACCAACACAGTGGGCACTATTTATATATTTGGTTATGAAATCTTAAATGTAGTCAGTCCAAATTGAGATGTGCCATTTAAAATGTACATCGACTGAAGACTAAATAACTAAAAACAAAAATAAACAAGGGCAAAATATCTCTCCCAGTATACTTTTTGCACTGATTTCACACTGAAATAACACATTAGATATATTGGTTCAAAAAAAAAAAAGGACATAAAACCCACATGTTCTAAAATGACTGTAATCTATTTCTTCTTAGTTTTTAATGTTACTGAAAAATATAAAATTATACATGGTTTACATTTTATTTCTATTAAATAGCACTGCTTAAGAACACAGACCTTAGTTGGGTGGTGGTGGTGGCACACAAATCCCAGTACTCAGGTGGATCTGAGTTTGAGGCCAGCGTGGTTTACATAGTGAGTTCCAGGACAGCTAGGACTGTTAGTTACACAAAAAACCCTGTCTTGAAAAACAAAAACCAATAAACAAAAAAACACAACTATAAAAAAAAAAACCAAAAAACCAAACACAAAAAAACAAACACCCAAACAAGCAACAAAACCCAAACCACAGATCTTCAATCAGGCTATTATTAGAAGCAAACCTATTTATAACTCATAAATTCTTGAGTGAATTTTTCAAGAGCAATGTAAAGCAGATTAGAATCTTGGCAGCCTTTATCAATCATGATTCTGTGTTATTAATTCATAATTACAGATTACACTTGAAAAAAGGTAAACCGATGAGCTAGTTGGTTCATGTTACATGGATCTTAGTAGGTAATTTCAGTTCCAAATGATAAAATGTTAGTTCTACTTTAACCAAAGTATAGTGATCAAGTGAATATGAACACTATTCTTTTCTTAAAGACAGCCCTAAACCTATAGTTGGATTTATAGAATTTCCACAGGTAGAACATCTGCAGTTTCTATCATTTATTTTCTTATCTGCATGAACACTTGAGTCAAAACCATTTAAACAAAGGAAGCAGTCACTGGCATTCCAGCTGGAACCGGCCACTTCTACACAAACACTGACAAAGACAACGTCGTAGAGGCATCTACCGAGTGGGCTCATTTCCAAGTTCCAAGCAGTCTACTGGGCAAACACTATCTTCATATGCTTCCCTCTGCAGATACTATTTGTATGTTCATATCTTTAAATACCTCCACATAAAATTTGAACACTCCATGGAGAACTTGTCTTATCAAGCACCTCTTGACAATCTGGTAGAAACCTCTCACTACTCAACACTGGGGTCTCAGAAACCATACTGAAATATTTTTTGAAATGTAAACAATCTCTAACCTCTTTAAGGCTATTTCCAGAGATATTGGTAATTAATACAGGGCCAATTCCTTTATAGACTCAACTTTATGGAACTACTGGCCTCCAAAATGTTACTGCAAATGTAAAATCTGAGAGATTTAACTTTATAAAATCAGAAATTCAAAATCAAGAATTTCAAGGCAGAAGGAAACATCAATTTTGGGTCCTCAATGCTTTTATGATCAAAAAATATGAGTATTGATCCATTTGTAACTCAGTAATACTGTCTCAGAGTCCCAGTTTTACAACATCTTTTAGACAACATCTGATTCTGCCCATCACTATGGTTTGTAGGATAAAATCAGTTTTCACAGTTCAGATTTAATGAGAAGAAAGAAGTATGTATGTCTGGGCCTGAGATACACACGGGAGAAAAAGAACAGAACGTCACTCACTCTAACTGTATTCCTTTTGAATAGTCCAAGGACTTAATTAGACAGATTCCAAAGTAGGCGATTATACCCTCAATTTTAAAACATCTTAACACATACTGATTAATGCATGAAATAAAAAAAAGTAACACCACCAAATATGTGCAAAAATTTCAGAGATTCAAAAGAAAAATTCAGGTTCATGTTTAAACACAGTATTTCCACTCATCAACTGAGGGAAAACTGTACTTATGGGGGAAAAAAAGTCATAGACACATGCTTTTTTGAGGAGGATATGTTATAAAACTACTACCACAGTTAATACTTAATATTGCCTTAACATTTCTAAAGTCACAGAAAATGATCATCTTTGATTGCCAGTACAATAAATTATGATAGAGGATGTTACTTCCTGTTCACTAGTAATCAAACATACATAAAACAGACTTCAAACAAATATTTAGTATCAATTATTTTGCATTAGCAAACATTTCTGAGATTTAAAGATTTGTGTTTGAGCATACAGTACTACAATGTTGGCTACATCAAATAAATACAAAATCATTTTTTGAGAAAAGTTCAACAATCAAAAGGCTGTATTGCATTTAAGATGGACCGCTGGCTATATATACACACAAGGGGACAATCAATGAGGAATACTTCCCGTTACAGAGGTCTTTCCAGGCAGCAAAGCTCATGAGCTCACCGTTCTGACATTTAAAATCAACACATACAGCGTAGCTCTTTTACCCTTTGGTTCCCAGTGACAAATAATGAATGCAGTTTCTGGACCAGTTCCTCTCGGATGACGTTTCTTGGTAAATATCTGATGTTTTAGCTGAAATTTGGCAGTCCAAGAAGTGCACCAACGGCTCCAAAGTATCCCTGCATAAGGCAATGTAGCTTTTAAATGAACTTGTTAAGAACACACATTTATATACCCTTCTTCACATGAATACATCAAAGAATACATTCCACAAAACAAACTAGACCCAGGAAAAGAAGCATCAAGTTCAACAGAACCCAGAGAAACATCAAAACTAATACAGAAGGAAAGGAGAACAATCATCTATTAAAACAGCACTTAGGTTTCTGAAAATAGCAGCAACTCCCTCTCTTTGCTAATTAACAACCTTAAATGTAAATGGCCCCAACTCATCACTAAAAAGATACAAACTAACGGCCTGAATTAAATAAAAAGAACTAGCCAGGTGTGTTAAGACATATTTTTAATCCCAGCACTGGGAAGGGGCAGATGTAGAGGCAAGTAATTTCTGAGTCTGAGGCCAGTCTGGTCCACAGATCAAGTTCCAGGACAGCCAGGGCTAAACAGAGAAACCCTGTCATAGAGAAAACAAACAAACAAATCTGAGAGATATCAAATAAACAATTTAATGATGCACCTCCAAGGCTCTTGAAAAACAGCCAATATTAAACAGAGCAGACAGCAAGAAATCATATCAGAGAAGAAATGAAATTGGGATTTAAATAACAACAACAATAATAATAATAATAAAATCAACCAAAGAGCTGGTTCTTTGAAAAAATCAGTAAGATTAACAAACTTGAGTCAATCTGATAAAGACATAAATTAAAAAATTAGGTCAGAAGTTGTCATTACTAAGACTCCAATAAAAAACTTTAAGCTGCATTCAATATACTTTTGAAATAAGTATCTTTAAACTATGGCTTTTAGATATTAACATTTACACAACTAATATAGCAAACCTGTATCCTCTCCCTCCCTTTAATCAATAAACAAAAAACTCCTTTGACACTCTTAGTGTGTGCCCTGTAGAAGGGTGAGAACATTCCACTCTAATTTGTACAGAGAGCCGCGACAATGAGATAGGGAAACTTATTGTAGCAATACTTTGAATGTTATTAATCCAAAATAATGTAAGCATTAGATTTCACTGTATGAGACTGATTAACCGCACAGATTGGAATTTAACTGGGTATTATAATTAGGGAAAAAAAGACTGGGAGGTGAGCTGTTTGGTTTTATTTGTTTGTTTGAACACAGGGTCTTGACATGTAATCCTGGCTAGCTGGGGAGTAGACTGGCTTCAAACCTAGGCAAAAACATCTTGCCTCTGCTTCCTGACTCCTATAGTGTTAGTATTAACACTAGTGTTAGTTAGCTGAACTAGAAAAACAAATCTTACATGATGGAGGAGGGTTAACTGTCTATGTGTTACTTTCATTGGTTAATAAAGAAACTGCCTTGGCTTTTGATAGGACAGCAGCTTAGATAGGTGGAGTAGACAGAACAGAATGCTGGAAGAAGGCAATGAGTCAGTCGCCATGATTCTCCTCTCTGAGACAGCTGCAGGTTAGAATCCTCCTGGTAAGCCACCACCTCGTGGTGTTAAACAGATTATTAGAAATAGGTTAGATCAATATGTAAGAGTTAGCTAATAAGAGGCTACAGATAATGGGCCAAGCAATGTTTAAAAGAATACAGTTTCCGTGTAATTATTTCGGATAAAGCTAGCCGGCAGCCAGGTGGCGGGGCACAACCCTCCGCTCCTTTTATACTTACAGATTTCAAGAATTTACAATAGTTACTTCTCAGGGTGGGATGTGTTATAATACATTGAGGGAATTAAAAATAATCTCTTTGTTACAACACACAGCCCAGGCCTTGGAAAATAAATCAATTACTAAATACAAGGAACTAAGCTTGATTCCCTAAACCAATGTAAATAAAAATGTCAGGTGTATCTTTATAAGTCCAGATGTTTTCATACCTCATGTTCTAGAAACAATGCTTTCAATTGACCTTTTGACCAGTAATCCAAAGCATATGCCAGAAGTTTCATAGAGAGAGTATTGACACGTAAAAAGTTTCCAACGAAGACAACTCTATTTATTTTCTGGAAAAAAAAGAAAAGTGACTTTTAAGGCATTAAAATATTTATATAAGAATGTTAGTGTCATTCATTAGTACTTACATGGCATACAGTTCTACACTTCTGATTATTCATGAATTAGATAACTAAAGAGTGAATTCTAATGTCAAATGTGAACTCTGGACTTTAGTGCTGATGTCACGTCCTACATGTTCTTGGATTACAACCAAATATACCAAGATCCAGCGTATTCCGAGTGAGGGAGGCTTCACAGACGTATGGAAGGTGTGGTGACAGCCTATATTTCCCTATTTCAGTTTTATTGCAAACCTAACATTGATCTAAAAAGTACTATCTAGTTGTTGTAACCAGGCACCATGCAATGCAACCTGGTCTTCCAGAGTTGGACAGTAGGAATGATTTAGGAAGAGGAATCTGAAGGATAAGTAACATAAAAGTTGCTCAAGAGGAGGAAAATGTGGGGCAAAGGAACAAGAGGCATAAACCAACTAAAACATAGCACGTAAATGGTGCAGATACACGTGTGCAGGGAAAATACCCATACACATAAATTAAAAAAAAAAAAAAAAGGTTAGGCTGGAGAGCTGGCTCAGCGGTTAGAGTATTTGCTACTGATGGCAAGCCCCAGGGACCCTCCTGTCCCCCCATCCACACCTGCTGGGGTTATAGGCCCAAAGTCACACCTGACTTCTTACACGGGTGCTAGGGATTCAAATTCAGGTCCTCTGCACAGTACTCACTGAGTCATATCCTCAACCCTCCATATTTTTCTTAAGGCAAGCAACCCAGGTCCCTCAGACAGCATGTGAAGAACAAGTCTCAATGCCTTCATAGCCCTGTACAATGCTGCTTGATCCATATGCAACAAGGCAGCACTGTAAAGAAGCCGAGGGCAGTAAGAAAACTTTCAAATATCTCAGTAATTGAATACTCCATTAATTATAAACAAGAATCTGCTTTTTTCAATAGCTATCTCAAAATGTTTTATACCCATGTTTAACTCCCATTTAGATTTAGACTGTGTATTCATTTGAGAATAAGTACTTATTTGTCCTATATCTGGTCCCAAGTTGGCTTCTTTTTGTCTTGCAGGGCTGGGGACTGAACAATAAGGGACTTGTGCTATTTGACATAGTTCTTTCTTTCTTTTTAATGGTTATTTTGAAGCAGAAGCTGACTGTGTAGCCTTGGCTGGCCAGGAACTCTCTTTGTAGATCAGGTTGCCTTTGAACGCAAAGAGATCTACCTGGTTCTGCCTCCTGAGTAAACAAACCTTAGGTAAACTAGATAAACAAGATATTTTATCCACCTGAGAGTGTAAAGAAATGTATCTCAATCTGAGAGGCCTTCCTGGAAAATAAGGACTTCTGTTAGATGCACAGGAATCAATTTATTTTTATTTGAAAATAAAACAAAAAATCAAGGTCTCTCTAACCCCAGTGGCCTGAACTAACTATGTGAATGAGCCCCAAACTCAGAGTTCTGCCACCTCCTGAGTGCTGTGATTAAAGGCATACACCACTATGCCCAAGATTTTCTTTTTTAATAAAATTAGAAGATCTTGGATACCTCCTTACCTCATTAACAGCACACATTCTTGCCACAGAACCAATGTTATTGGTGATAGTAACTAAGGTAGCTCTAGCCAGATCCTCTTTACTAACAGTTTCTCGTTTCTCCTTATAAATCATATTTCCAAAACTGTTAAAAAACAAAAGAGAGGAACAGACAAGTCAAATCTATTGATAAACAATTAATAATTCACACGTTAACTTCCGTATCTATGATAGCTCTATACAGTTAGGGTCAAAAGAGCATGAGCACATATGGAACAGCTCAAAACAAAAATCCATGAAGAATAAGCAACATTTTAAAAAGAACTAAAAGTTAAAAAAAAAGCAGACTTCCTTGTTACTATGAATCATTGACTTTCATTACATCTCTATATTAAGACCAATATACACAAGAAAATTATAATCATTTTAGGAAGCCAGAAAAAAGTGCATTGACTTGCTTTTAAAGTCAAAATATTGTTAAAGATGATTTCAGCTCTAATGTCAAATCCTTTTCATTCAATAACACAAGTATTTATGACATACCAAGCATTATGCTAGACACGAAAGGTACTTCAAGCAGTATATTGCTTAGGTCAGCACCGTACAATAAAAACATGTGCCACATAGTACATTATCTATCAGCTATATTTCAAAGGGTAAAAATAAAGGTAAAATCAACTAGAAGTGTTCATCTTACTAAAAAGTCAATATATCTAAATGCTGTCATTTGACTATAAGGCATTCATTAACAACAGTCCAAGTGCTTGCTGTACAGATCTTGATGAAGCTATCTGATGGACAAGGAAGATCATATAGCAGAGCCACGTAAGTGTAACAAGATAGACAGACCAAATCACAGGGAGCAATAAAGGGAATAAAGATTGCATTTTGAGGTTTTTTAAAAAAAAGCTAAGATTTTTCACATTAAAAAGAGAGAAGTAGAAGGAATACTACAGACAGAGCAACCAAGGTTAACGACCAAGATAAATGTCACACAAAAATGAAACATGTATGAAATCACAAGTGACATCACATGTGAAGAGTGAAGGGTCTCTACGAGAATGCAGAGATGTGCTAAGGAGGGAAAGTCCACTACTACTTCTAGAGGGCACTGGATACCCTGACAAGCAACAGCCAATCACAACATAATGCAAATCACATATAAACACAGAGAGGAATTCATGAAGCTCCATCCCTCCTTGAGGATCTAAAGGCAGTTAAAAGTTGATGGGGGCAGGAGAATGACACATTTTCTTCAGTTACATAGCCACTGCTATGCTGCCAGTGTACCGATGAACAACACTAACTAAACTCATTAGGTCATGAAAAGAAACCCAAAAAGTAGAAGGGGACTGACTAGCACCAGCACCGCCCAGCTCTGACGAGCTACTTACAAGAGGATCAATACAAGTGGGAAGGAGACAGGATAGAGTAACAGGGATGAACATGATAAAAATAAATTATATTAGCCAGTGGTGGTGGCACATGCCTTTAAAAGTGAGCTCCGGATAGCCAGGAATACAGAGAAATTCTGTCTCAAAACACCAAAACAAAATTTATATTTACAAATAAAAACACAATAAAACCCATTATGTAAAATAGTACACGCTAACAAAATTGTTTAGAAAAATTTTATTAATATAAATATGTAACTTTTTAAATGTCTGAAAAGCACAAAAATGCCTTAAACAGGTAAGTTTTCTAACAGAAAGATGCAACATCATAAAGTATCATTTTTCAATCATTATTTATTCTCTCCCTGTATGTGCACACACACTCAGACTAGAAGAAAACTTGCAGGGAGTTAGTTCTCTACTTTTACTATGCAGGTTCTGGGGCTCAATCTAAGGTAGACAGGCACGGCAGGGGGCACCCTTACCCACTGAGCAATCTTATTGGCCCAAGGATGTCATTGCCCTAAGCTAACAAAGCTTTGTTAAAGATGTTTCAGAATTAGTAAGAAGTTTTCCCTTCCTGTTTTTGGTTTTTTGAAAGTGTCTCATGGTGTGGCCCTGACTGGCCTGGAAGACCTTTTATAGAACTTGATTGGCCTCGAACTCCAGAGTTTCACCTGCCTCTGCCTCCTAAATGATGGGATTAACAACATGTGCCACCATGGGCAGATGAGAAGTTTCTTTTTGTTCTGCAGTTTAGGGAATCAAACCCTGACTTGGGCATACTAGGCAAATGCTCCTCCACTGAGAAATATCACCAGCACAAGAAAGTTTTTTTAAAGGGTGCACACAGGGTAAACTTCATAATGAGTTTATTTGTTTGGTTGGTTTTTTGAGACAGGGTTTCTATGTAGCTTTGGAGCCTGTCCTGGAACTAGCTCTTGTAGATCAGGCTGGCCTTGCTTCCTGAGTGCTGGGATTAAAGGCATGCGCAACCATCACCCAACTATTTGTTTTCAAGACAGGGTTTCTCTGTGTAGTGCTCAATGTCCTGGAACTTACTCTGTATACCATGAGGCTGACCTCAAACTCAAGGATCCACCTGTCTCTGAAGTGCTGGGATTAATGCATGCAACACTATTGCCTGGCTTGAGTCTTTTATTTTTAAACTACTTCAATGTTGAAAACTTGGGCTCTATACAAAGAAATCACCCTTAAACCCCACGACATACTATTTTACAAAAACTAAATAGACAACGTGAATAACTTACCTAGATGCCACAGCCCAACCTGGCAGACCAAATCTTTCATAATCTCCTCCATAAATATCTCGGACCAGCCTATCAGCTTGGGTGCTGTCACCTTTGGATGCCATTTCAAGAGCCTCCTCAAAACTTTCACAGCCAGTCAATAAACTGCATAAACCAAGAAAGGTACCCCCTCCAAGGCTAAATAAAGCATAATAAGATAATCTTGTTAAATTCCATTTACATGTTACTTTCTTTTCCAAAGTAAAAAGATAACATTCATTTATTGAATAAACACAGATGGAAAACATGGTAATTACTAAATATAAACATAATAAAAGACAAGAAAAACTACTTAGGAAAACCAACCTGTCATCTCAAAGGCTAAGTCTGCTGGGAAGAAAAACTCCACCTGGAATCTAATGGCTTTGTAATTGCTAAAAATATACTACTGTGTGTGCATTAAAAGAAATACTAATAATAGGCTGGTGAGATAATGCATGCTACAATTGTCAGCACTAAAGAAGCTGAGACAAGAGCTGGAGTTCTGGGTCAGCCTGTCCAACACAGAAAGACTTAAAAAAAGATCACACAAAGAGGGAAATCTGTGCTTTAAATTCTCAAGAAATGACTCTGTGAAGGTTTATTTAGTTGCCCAATTAGACTGAAATCAATTCAGCTAGTCTAACATGAACCAAATACTTAGAGAGAAAGTATATATCCAGATGATAATCACAATAATGATAAATTTATTCGGTATTATTCCCATATCATTTTGGATATGCCCATGAAATGTAATTGTGCAGTTCTAGTCTTTAAACGCAAAATCTTTGCTTGCTAGACTCACCTAAATTTCTATTTTTTGCAGTTAACAAAAACAAGAAATGTTTTGTACAATTACTGGTTAACGACGGCACAAAAGTGGACTTTTAAAGGACTAATCACTATTAGAGTGAATAGTAATGCGCTTAAATATTTCAATGGCACTACTGCTTTAAAATTAACCCCCCTTTATAAATCATTTAAATATCTCAAAATTTTTGCTCGCATAGTTAAACAGGCATTGCCACCTATTCTCAAAAGTTAATGAAATACATAAAAAAGTCTTATAAAACCCTTCACATTCATATTTCAGATTATTAAAAAGTTATGGTCTACTCGAGAACAATTTATTCTATAAGGAGTTCACATTAAATTCATCCTAAAAATTAACTACAGGGCTCAAGAGGAGGTCTTGCAGAGGACCTGGACTCAGTTCCCACCATCCCTTTCGGACAGCTCACAACTTCCTGTACCCCAGTTCCAGGGGTCTGACACCTCTGGCCTCTATAGACAAATGCACAGTAAATTCACACACATATAAATAAAAATAAATACAAAATAATTAGCTACCCCACTATCTGACATTGTAGTTTAAATGCAAAACTATATAGTACAAGTTTTATGCTTAAATATAAAAATTGAAAAAATTAAAAAAAAGAAAAATGCTATAGAATTTAAGCAAAATATAAAAATAATGTAATTTTGAAGTCAACAGAATGCTGACTACCACTGCTAGTTCTATTAAACTTAGGAAAAAACATGGTGGCAGATGCCTTTAATCCCAGCATTCAGAAGGCAAAGGCAGATAGATCTCCTCTGTGAGTTCAAGGCCAGCCTTGTCTATGGAGTGAGTTCCAGGACAGGCTCCAAAACTACAGAGAAACCCTGTCTCAAAATAAACAAAGCAACACAAAAAAACAAAAGTAACTCTTACAAAAAGAGATCTGCAGCATTTTAATTTACACATCTTTTTAAAGACATTACTTTTATGTGTTTCAGTGTTTTGCTTGCATACATGTTCTGCACCATGTGTATGGCTAGTGCCAGCCAAGGTTACAACCTCTGGAACTGGAGTTAAAAAAGGCTGTGAGCTGCCATGTGGGTGTTGAAACTGAACCTGAGTCTTCTGCAATAGCAAGGACTCCTAACTGCTGAGCTATCTCTCCAGCTCCCTATATATTTTGCTGCTGCACAAAGATGTATTTATTATTTTCTTGGTAAAACGAAGGAACTAGCCATATCCTGATACATCTGGGGGCCCAATTCAGTGTAGCATACTTGCCTAGCAACAATACAAGGGCCTATGTTTGAGTTCTAGCACCAAAAATAAATAGACAGACGGACAGATAAAAAAAACAAAATACACCCCAGAACTTTATGCATAAAACATGACGAAGAATGTAATCAGACCAAAAAGATTACTACCTTGTTCCAGTCACTCTTTTATAGTTGTCTTTGGAATGAACTGCTAAAATACTGACTCCTGAGCCAATATTCACTACCAGCAGTGGATAAGGATCATCCAGGTTAAAAGGCATCTTTTGGCATCGCTCAGGTTCTGAGGCATTAGCAAAATAATAGCATTCTGCTTGTCCATTGAAACTGACAGAATCTATATACAGTAAGCCCTTTACAAGGCAGTCAAGTTCATCCAGTTTGTGCAGGTGGAGGTTTCCAATCTGGAAGAAAAAACAAAAATCAGAATTTTAAAAATATCAAACAAATATACTTGGTTTAATTATATTGGATAGTTTTCATAGATTTTATAAAACTTCAGTATTATTTAAGGTACTGCAGCTTTTCTTTATTTAGGGTCAAAAATCTAGCAAGGATTTTACTTAATCCACTAGTTCTCAGTGAAGGCAGCATCACGTGGGTATTTTAGATTTCAGTGGATGAAGTGGAGGCATGAGTGAAAGAGACACACTGACTACTTTTCTAGATGACCAGAGTTCAACTCCAGGACCCACATGGCAACTCCAGTTCCAGGGACTCTGATACTTTTTTCTGGTCACCTTGGTCACTAGACATGCACATGGTATATGGACTTACATGCAGGCAAAACACCCATGTACATAAAATAAAAACAAACCACCACAAAATTAAAAAAAGAAAAAAAAATTAGTGGACAGGGTTATGGAATGGTAGACATTTGTTATGCACAGGATAGTTGTGCAAACTTCAAAAATCACCTCACCACTGGGTTACTTTTGACTATTCTGACACACATTAATTTTACCTATCAATGCACACAAACATGAAGTATTGCTCATAGTTTTAATGTATATGTTAATTTGCTAGGTCAACATTCCAAAATACTGAATTACAGGTGAATTACATGTGATAAAACTCCAAATACGGAAACACAACATCCTTTCAATAGTTCTCTTGCCATATATACTATAACCTCAAGGACAAGAGATGCATACTAATATAACTTATTATAGGAGAGGGCTAATAGAGATAGTTAATATGAATACAAAACCAAAAACACTGGGTGGAGTTTGAGGTCAGCCTGATCTACACTGAGAGATCCTGTCTCCCAAAACCAATAAAACCAGCCCCCCACCCCATGCCCCACTACCAACAACAAAAGGAAAACAAATGTAAAACAGTAAAAGTAAAACTGCCAGATTCACTGGGCTTTTCTCATGTACCACATTCCATACTAAAATTTAAGGAATGTAGACAGCCCATCAAGTTGTTAAAAATGTTCCAAGTCAAAATCTAGTCATGCACATAAGCTTTAGGGAAAATGAAATTAAGGAACACCCTAGATCAGCAGTTCTCAACCTGTGGGGTCCCGATCCTTTATGGGAGGGGTCAAAGAATCCTTTTTCAAGGATTGAATCAGATATGTTGCATATCAGATATTTATATCATAAATTGTAACAGTAGGAAAATTACAGTTATGAAGTAACAACTGAAATAATTTTATGGTTGGGGTTCACCACAGCATGAGAAACTGTACTAAAGGGTTTCAGCATTGAGAAGGTTGAGAAACACTGTTTAGAAGCCCAGAATTATATTTAAAATTGAATATTCTCATTAAATTTTGGTTTTCAAGTAATAGACACCTACTGTGCGAAAATCTTTCTCAAACTTGTAAGCACCGCCTCCTGTAGCACTCAGCACCGTTTGTAAGGTTGAGAAGTTTTTATCTCTCCCCATTTGGATAAAAGTAGGCAGGTCCTGGGTTGGAAATCTGATAAAGTGCAAGTTCCCTCTTCGTCCAAAAAGTGTTAAGTCCTTCAGTTCAAGGTGTACATCCCGAATGCCAGTAGATCCATATGCTACGTTAGAAGTCAAATATTTCCGAATGCTTTTTAAACTCTCAACTTCCTCTTGTTCTTCCTCTGCTGTGATATCGATAGGCTCAAAATATGAGAGCTTCACTAGAGTTCCCCCAATGTCCATGCCAAACCATGGGAAAGCTGTGAATTAAAAGAAAAAAAAAGACACACACATATATATTGATTGTGGGGAAACTAGAATGGTTAATTAGCCACAAACTTCATTTACTCTTCAAGTAGTAACCTTAATGGCTAAGACTTACCTACTACATATAACTCATTTTTCCTTCAGTTGTACTTGTACACTTTTGTTCCCCTTGGATTTTTTCTTTTCTTTCTTCTTTTTTGTTTTTTTTGAGACAGGGTTTCTCTGTAGCTTTGGAGCCTGTACTGGAACTAGGTCTGTACACCAGGCTGGCTTCAAACTCACAGAGATTCATCTGTCACTGCCTCCTGAGTGCTGGGATTAAAGGTGTTCGCCACCATCACTGCCCAGCTATTTGTATACTTTCTAAAAACTCACACGATATTGAGACATTGCCCAAGACTTTTAAATTTTTTATCCAGTAGGCACTCCTATTCACCCATTATATGCTTACTTATCATATGACTCAGGTGAGAAGAATTTAAACCCAACAGTTATCACTAGGATTTGAAAATTATTGTTCTGTTTTTAAAAGTTACTTATTTTATGTGTATGAGTGTTCTGCCTTTGTGCTTGTACGTGGTTGGTACCCAAGAAAGTCAGAAGAGGGCAACTAGTACAGATAGATGGTTGTGAGCTGTCATATGGGTGCTGGAAATTGAAACTGGGTCCTGCGCAGTCCCTCTATAAAAATTTTAATGTAATAAAACTAGGGGCCAAGGAGAGGGCTACAGTGGTCAAAAGATCTTGCTACAAAACAGAAGGATGTGAGAACTTCCAAAACGGATGTAAAAGACAGGACACAGCACATCGACTGAGCACCTGTGAGACCAGTGACAAAGGGAGATAGGAAAAGTACAAGTCTTGCTGGGCCGTAGTGGTGCACGCCTTTAAGCCCAGCACTTGGGAGGCAGAGGCAGGTGGATCTCTGTGAATTCAAGACTGAGTTCAACTCAGTCTACAAGAGTTCCATTCCAGGACAGGCTCTAACAGGTTCTAAGGCTACCGAGAAACCTTGTCTCGAAAAACCAAAACCAAAACAAAACAAAAAAAAAAGAAAAAACCAAAGAAAAGTACATGTCTCAAAGTAAGGTAGAAAGTAGAAAGGCAAAAGGACTAGCATTACATGACCATGTATGCTTGCCTACATTCATACAACACAAATGTACACATACTTACTTACACACACACACACACACAAACCCAAGTGGGTAAAGCTACATAGAAAACCTTGTCTCCAAAAATAAATAAATATAAACACCACAGAAAAACTGGCCTACAATCACATCAGGTAACCAATGGAAAAACTATCTCCTTAAATTGAAACTTTGGGGGGAATAGAGAGATGGCGCAGTGATTAAGCACTTGTTACTTTTCCAGAGGATCCGAGTTCTGAAGCTCACAGTCACCTATAACACCAGTTCCACAAGACTCAACACTGTATACACACACACACACACACACACGCATGCACACACACACATTAATAAAATGAAATTTTTCTTCACTCATTCAGCATGTTAATTTTCTTTGCTACATATGATTAACCATACTGGATTGCCTATATAAAGACAAGCACATTTGTGCTAAGAGTAATATTCAGGTTTAGGACTTCAACTAACTGGGCTATGTGGCTCTGGGGGGAAAATGTGATGCTGCTTTCAATGTAGAGAATGCTAAAAAAAACAAAAATTAGCTACCCAAAGGCAAAGTCCTAATATATATATAGTTAGGGAACTATGAGAAAGAAGTAAGCTGAGAAAATAGTCAAGCACAAAAGACCTGCATGATAAGGAAAGAAATTTACTCTTGAATCTATAGACAATTTCAGGCACCATTTATTTTCGTCACAAGAAAGTACACAGTTTGGCTGAACATCAGAAAGCTTTATAAAGTAGGAATATACAGAACATATAGAGTTTAAGAGGCGCTTACTAGCAGGGCAGTGATGGTCCATGCCTTTAATCCTAGCAGTTGGGAGACAGAGGCAGGCAGAACTCTGTGAGGCCAGCCTGATCTACAAGACAGCCAGAGTTACACAAAGAAACCCTGTCTCGAGAAACAATAAAAACAAAACAGAATAAGCAGGTGGATCTGAGTTCAAGGCCTGCTTGGTCTAAGGACAAATTCTAGGACAGCCAGGGCTTCACAAAGAAACCTTATCTCGAAAGAGAGAGAGAGAGAAAAAAAACCAACCAAACAAAAAACCACACTTAACTAAAGGTGCCTGGCAAGTAGAAAATCAAAACCAACTAGGTATTATTTGAAAATTACAGATTTCTGGGCTATCACTCCAAAGTGTTGGGCTGAGATGGTTCAGCAATTAGGAGTGTCCGCTATGCTACTCTTCCAAATGACTCAGTTCAGTTCTCAGTACCCATTCCAGGTGGCTCAGAAGTGCCAGTAACTCTAGCTGCAGGGAATATGACACCTGCTTCTGGCCTATAGGCACCATTTATGTATATGGTACATGTAGGCTGCCCAACGCAGCTCAGTTGGCAGAGCTGCATAAAGCATTGGCTAGTTGCACACCTGCGATCCCAGTACTCTATAGGTAGAAGCAAAGGGGTCAGAGGTTTGTCATCCTTGACAACACAATGAGTTCAAAGTCAGTCTGGGTTACTTGAGACCAGAATCAGAAAGTCAGTCAGTCTTTCCCCCAAACCCCTGAATGCAATTGAATAAGTGAAAGAAAGAATTCTTCTCATTACTTTCTTCTATAGAAATAGTTCATGGCCAGACAGAGTGGCATACACCTTTGATCCTAGCATTTCAAAGGCAGAGGCCAGTCTGGTGTATACAAGAAGTTCCAGGTACCCAGGGTTACATATGGAAACACTGTCTCAAAAAAAAGAATGGGGGGTAGAAAAAGAAAAAAAAATCCCTGCCAGGCAGTGGTGACACATGCCTTTAATTCCAGCACACGGGAGACAGAGGCAGGCAGATCTCTGAGTCAGCCTGGTCTACAGAGCTAGTGTCAGTAGTGGCTCCAAAGCTATACAGAGAAACCCTGTCTGGAAAAACCAAAAACCAAACCAAACCAAAAACACATCAGGAAACTGAACTTACTAGTATTGGAAAAGCGGGCCACAAGAAGACCACAGAAAAACACAAGACAAAATGGTAGACCATTTATAAGTCATACAGTAGCACCTCTAGGTAAAAAGAATGTGGTATCACTAAGAGCTGCTTTCAGTTCAGAAAATCTAGAATATCTTCTTTAAGAGATTCATTCATGGTCTAAAGAGCTTTGCTTAAAGGGGGAAGTAATATATAAAGTTACAGGTCATTTTCCTGCCCCATCTCCACTAACGCTTCCAAAGCAATATACTGACAGTAGACATTTATTATCTTGAACAAATTCTTCTGCACTTCATGGTTTTAAAAATTGTCTTTTGGCCTTTTTAGAGGTTGGGTTATTTTAATGGTAGTTACAACTTTTTTTTCTTGTACTTCAGAGTTCAAATAAACAAAGCTGTAAGGTATAGAGGAGGGACCAACCATATATCAATTATTCTGATACAAAGAATAAAGATTTATGGTTACTTTCAATACCTACCTATGAGCCAGGTGTTAGAGGTGCATGCCTTTAATCCCAGCACTCAGGAGGCAGAGGCAGGAGGATCTCTGTGAGTTCGAGGCCAGTCTGGTCTACAAAAGCTAGTTCCAGGACATAATTTAAAGAGGTGGATCAAAGTGATTTATTTTTCTTGTGTTTTTTTTAATTTATTTTTATTTATTTATTTTTTTTTTTGAGATAGGGTTTCTCTGTGTAGCCCTGGCTGTCTTGGAACTGGTTCTGCAGACCAGGCTGGCCTCAAACTCACAGAGATCTGTCTGCCTCTGCCTCCCATGTGCTGGGATTAATAAAGGCATGAGCCACCACTGCCTGGCAACCACTAGAAAAGCAGAGAAAATGAGTTTGCTGAAAGATGTTCAGGTGTTCCCAGATGCACTAGTTTTCTGTGTGAGTTATTTGGAGCAGGGTCTCTTGCTATACAAGAACTGAGAAGACAAATGTGCTTTTCCATGCTAGCCTAGGGCTCATTAGTTTAATCGGGAAAATGTAAACCTAAACCTTCAATGTTTCACTGGCTTTCTTTTTGCTTTTTCTGTTCTTGTTTTTTTGAGACAGGGTCTCATCATGTAACTCCAGCTGGCCTGGAACTTGTTTTGTAAACCAGGCTGGCTGGACTCAGAACTCTTGAGAAACACAGGTCCCTTGAAAAAAAATAATGTATTTCATGGGTAGATAATCTAAAATTAAGACAACAATAAACTTGTGTTTCCCACGTATTTAAGATATAGACTATGCCCTGTAGGTGGGATAGAAACGACACTGCACTTTGAGCGACTCCGCGGAGAGTGCTGAAAGTTACTGAGGCGAAGTTCAGTCTCCCTCATCTTTAAACAATAAAAATTCACATTTCAGTAACTGTTTCTAGACTGCTTTGGAAGCTGCTTCCTTGAGGTTTACAGGATCCCTCAATGGGAGCAGGCAGGGAAGGTGTTCAGAGCCCCCTTTCTAACTTGATCTTGGGGAGCAGTCGGGAGGATAGCCTGGAACACTAGAAACCATGAAACCTCGGGCTAAGACAGAGCACGGATCCCCACACCCCTAGCTTGCAGAGAACGAAGGAGCAACAGTCACAAGGACCGAACCAATGAATAAACCAACTGCAGAAATTAAAGGCTTTTAAAAGGCAGCTTGTGAAACTTGAGGTGCTCTCTGACAGCACGGTTAGAGCCTTCGCAGTCTATGCATGCACGATTACAGAAAAGGCTCAAGGTATTTACCACGACATTAATGTGCTTCGAACTGAGTAGTTGAAATATAGGTTTTTTTTTAAAGTCTTTTTATTTATCTGCTTTCGAAAACACAAACCAACTGCTATTCTAACTTGCCAAGGTAATTTACCTATTGGCAGACCACACGCACAGGCGTTGAACAGGTCCACTGGCAACAGAAGACAACTCCCAGGAACCCACCTGGACTTCAAGGACACGCGCAGAAATCAGGGGGGGAAATGGGGAGGTAGCAACCCCTAGCTGGGAGCCCCGACCACCTTTCCGCCCTGACTCCAAGACGGGACCGGTATGCAATCCCGTTTGGTAAAACCCGAGTCAAAAAATCTCCCGTGCACCTCCCAGATCCTCTCCAGGAGCAAGTGGGAGCAGAGGGCTGGGGGCGGCAGAAGCTCGCCGGGCGTGCGTGCATGGGGGGGTAGGGAAGCGCGCCGCCTGCAACCTGGGGCTGCTGCGATCCCTCCCTTCCCTCCCAGGCGGGCGCCAGCGAACAACCCCCAGATCAAAGCAGGCCGTTCCGTCCGAGGCTCCCAGGGCCGCCTTCCCAACCCGCGGGTCCCGGCTCCCATCTTACAGGGTTTTTTGGCATCCTTGATCTTCATGGCGTCGGCCTAAGGCGCGAGGAGTAGCCTCGGGTGCGAAGCGCAGCGAAGAGCAGGGAACACTCCGGAGACGGAGCAGGTCGGGCCGCGCGGCGAGGCCCGGCCGACCGGTTCCTCC